TACCTTGTTATAACTAAACATAAAAAACAAAATACGTCACCCCTAAAAGTTGACCTTCTACCTTGTTATAACTAAACATAAAAAACAAAATACGTGCACCCACACATTCAACATAATATAATTTAATATCTTTTACTCATGGCCAAGGAATAAAAAAAAAAACATGTATTTTCTCCCTGAGAGGATAAACCTACATGGAAACAATTGCAAGGAAGGAAAAAATGTCACCATGTCCTTTCATTTTCAATTTGCTCAACACATGTGCCCGTAACAATCATTTTACTTCTTTAACAACATTGTTATCATATGCAGCTAACCACATCAATGTTAACCCTATTGGGAGAATCAAAAGGCACACAAACTAGAAAGTTCGATGGATTGAATGATAAAAATTAAAGTTAAAAGAACAAAATGATTATTAATGAAAAATTGAAGGACCTTGACTGTAGTTAAACCTTTGGTCCAAATGCTAAACCATCTAGGAATCTGAGCAGCTAGAGGTGGTGGGTGCACAACTTGTTCGCACCCTCCCCACCACTATTGGAAATCTTTTAAAGTTTTAGGGAGTGCCACGCCAGCATAATCCAATAACAATAACATTATAGTTATGATACTGCATAAAATTATAAATTTATAATTATAATATGATATTAAATAAATTGGTACATACAATATTATTAAGAGTCTCTTAAATACGAAGAATTAATTATCTAACAACATATTATATTATAAATTTATAATCTCATATAATATTATAACTATAACATTTTTTATCAAATAATTCCAACCATCCATTTTTTTTTCCTTACCATTTTTCTTGAAAAAAATAAGGATAATTCCAAAATAAATGGATAAATTTACCAAGCACCACAGTAACATTTTTTCATCTATATCCCATAAATAGACAAAAGATAAAGTTTTATATCTAATATTATTAAATACTTACGCTAATTTCTCTGGCCTCATCATTACAATATGTTGGTAGTTGTTCTTTTCCTTTCGATCGATGCAGCCTCCTACTTGTGTACACCTTTGGGAATGAGGGTGGACGACCCAATGGATCTACATTTTGCTGTAATGGAAAAATTTATAAATTTTAAGACAAATATATAATATTATAAAAATATTACTAATAAACTTCCAAAAACACTATTAACTACTATACCATTTTCCTCCTATATGTAGTAACATCCATAGAACCGTTGTGTATGTGTGACCTTTGGGCCTTTAGTCCAATTTGCCTTTGCAGCATTGGACTGCCTAATATGGTTTTCATCCTAAAAAAATTGATGAAAATAATTTAATATAATATTAAAATAATTAAGCATTGCTATTGCTAATTTCTTCATCTTTTCCATCTTTTTTTTCTGTTCTTTTGTTACTTTGGCTACTTTCATCCATCTTTCTTTAGTTTTTGTCCAAACCTTTTAGATTTAATTCACTAGCAATAGAATAATATTTCAAAATGTTAGCACAATACTTTACTTAATTACCTTGGTCCATATATGAACAAGCTTCTGAAAGAGTTTGGGATTCATGTTTAGGGGCTTCACTTGAAAGTTATCTACTGCATAGTTGGTTTTCAGCACATTTAATGTATGCTTGAATTTGATACCACATGTATGATCCCATAGTGTTTTTATCCTTCCAATTAAATAAATAAATAATTTAAAAGTTATTAGGCATATTTAGAAATTAAATAGAATAATTTAAAGGATGGGCCATATGTAGAACTGATTCCAATAAAAATCATGATGCTCTTGTGGAACAAATCCCCATGTAGTATAAGCATATGGAAGATTTTCCTTTAACTACACCACAATTTCCCACCTAATATTTTGTGGGATGTTACCCCCATCATCAAGCACCAATGGAATCTTACTGCCATTTGCTGGCATTTTCATTAGTTTTGCCTTTCCTCATCCCTTTCTTTGACAGGGTGCCAGCTCTGTATCATTCGAACTGCTAGAGCTATGAAAAGTAGTATTAGCAACAGTCTCATGAACTATATCAGGTGTAGCATCCTCCTGTGTTCGACACTGAGGATCAAACTAAGATAAACGCCTATTAGGTTGAGATGCATTAATCGTTTCTGTACACCTTGAACTACAACAATTCGTTGTAAGAATAAAAAAAGAAAAAGAAAAAGAAGTTCATTAGTAAATAAACTTAAAGACAATAGATTAAAATTAACATACTAAATAAAATAAACATAATTATAAAAATATAAATTATCAACCAAATTTCAATTGACAATTAAAAAAGATAATACAAGAAAAATAATTATATTATTTGATTAATATATAATTAAAGTATTTAATAGATTAAAATTAATATTTTAAATAAAATAATGTAATTATATAAATATATTATTGAAAATATCAACCAAATTATAATAAAAAACACACAATACATGTAATATAATTATAGCATTTAATAGGTTAAGATTAATATGTGAAATAAAATAAATATAATTATAACAATACAAAACATGCAAAATAAATAAACATCATGACTACAATACAAACAACCAAATATTAACAAAATTACACTTAAAAAAATATAAATAATATAGTTTTAGAAGTATAAATAAACAAATATAAACTTAATATAATAACAACTAGTTTTGACAACAATTTTGCCTATTCATTGCTACTATCATTTTCAAAAATATAAGCCTCCATGTTTTCTTCATCAGATGTTTCAAAGTCTTCCCACTCCTCCTCATCATCCTCTTCTCCAATCTCTTCCCCACCATCAACTTCTTCATGTACTTCAATAACTGTTCCATCATAATGTTGGACAAGTTCATAACTTATCTCACAAATATTTATTGTACAGGGAATAAGAGGGTCATCATCCTGATAATATGATGCTAATTCTTCTTGGTGGCCAACCTCATTCTCTGGGGCCTCAATGATGCTCCTGACCTTAATTTTAAGGCCAACAACCCAACCCTTTCTTTGATGATTAATAGATGAGTATGGAGTGTAATACACCTACCTGGCTTGACTAGCTAAAATAAAAGGCTCATAGGATCGAAGATATCTTCTTGGATTAATGTCAACTAGTCGATGTTTTTGATCAACCTTAACCCCTTGAGCTAGAGGAATCTCATACCAATCACACTTAAATAAAACAACTACTTGTCAATGGATTGATCCAAAGTACTCAATTTGAATGACTTCTTGAAGCACCTCATAGAAATCATAGTTTGATTTAGTTCCAATAGATCCCACAACACAAACATCATAATTCATTGTTCTCTCATTTTTACCATAGGCTGCAGTGTGAAATCTAAATCCATTGACAATATATCCATTATAGCATGAAATTGTATTTTTTGGACCACTAGATAAGCCTTTTATGTGCTCATGGACATTAATGAACTCCTCACTTCTTACCTAAAACAAACATATTAGGGAAAATAATGTTAGATGTCTTTGAAGAGAAACATATGTTAAGAAATCGAATATTGTCATATGGAATGATACTCACGGCTCGTTCAAACCAAAGAACAAGATCTCTGTAATACCCCAAAATTTTGTGATATTTTAGCAGTAAGTTAAGGACTAAATTATAGAAAAATATTGTTTTGGGCTTAATAGCCAAAATTTCCAAACTTGAGGGACTTAAAGAGGGAAATTTGGATAAGGATCAGCTTCTTTTCTTTTTCTTTTTCTTTCTTTCTTTCTTCCTTAGCCGTGCAGTTTTGCTCTCTTTCTTCCCGATGCTTGCCTCCCGAAAGCCCCCCAAGCCACCGACGCACCCTTGAAAAAAAAACTGGCAAAAGCTTGATTTTTGTTCCATCTTTTCTTGTTCAAGAACCCATTTTCGGACCTAGAATCCCTCTAAATCAAAGGAATTTTTCAGATCTAGCTGCTGTTTCCTCCCCCCTCCTTACACTGCTATTGCCGGTGAGAGTGTGGGTTCGGTTTCTGGTAAATTCAGCCATCAATTTCATCTTTTCTCACTTGAGTTATGTTGGGTTCACTCTAATCTTGTTGTTTCTTCCAATTTCTAGCCATTCCGTGACTCCCCTGCATTTTCCGTCAGGCCCCCAAACCCGCCAGCTCCAATTTCTACTGCTGTTGGGAAATTCTGGTATGTTGACAGCTCCTCCAAGCTTGAAAATTCATCAATAAATTGCTGGCTGCGTTGTCCGAAAGTTTGCAATAATTAGGGGATAATTCCGGTAGCTTTAGGACAAAATTAAGCATTGATTCAAGTAGAATTTATGTGTTTGAGTGTTAATTGACTGCTGTGAGATTTTGGAGTGAAATCCCGTGAGATTAGCTAGTGTTTTGGCCAATTTTTGGAAGTTGCAGTACTGTTCACGGGTAATGGCCAACAATTAACGGGGATTTAAATGTTTAGTTTGTAATATAAGAATAAATTTGGAGATGTCTGGTCATGTGGAGATTGATAGGAATAGCATCGTGATTAGGGGGTAGTCATGGTGATTTTACTTTTGAATCCGTGGTACGGTAATTAATTCTTGAATATTTTGATTAGGTTCCTGATCGTTCTGTCAGTTTAGCACTGAGATCGAGTCTTCGGTTTATGCAAGTGGGGTAAGTAAATTTATGGTAATGCCCGTATAGTTTTTAAAAGCATGTTTTGACTTGTTTTTGAAGTGGTGGCGGGACTAAACGCGTTTTATACAAAAATGAGCATGATTGATTTGAAATAAGATTATTATTCCTTTATTGATTTAAGCAAGCCTACTTGGAGTTTATTTAACTACCCTGATGATCTGAAAATTTTGTAAATTTTGATTTTTCTGTTAAATCCATGCTCACATGGAATTTTTCTGGTTTATTTTTGAAATTTGAGATTGATTGTGAATTACGGATTTTATGTAAATCCTGCACGGTTTTGTCTCTGATATAGTTATGATTTTTGACCCTCGCTAGTGGGAGTAATGCTAGCACATGTCGACATGTTTATTGATATGACCGGTTCATTCTGTAATCCTGCCAATGGAATAATACATTGGTAATTTTTGATGCCTACCACTGGGCAAATACATTGGTAAATTCTGACGCCTGCCAATGAGCGAACACATTGGTAATTTCTGTTGCCTGCCAGTGGGTGTTACACGCTGGCCATGACTTATAGACGAGACCACTACTAAATTTTCTTCTGCATTAACGGTTTGTAATTGGACACTTTGTTATGGAACTAAATTTGATTCTATATTAACGGTTTATCATTGAACGTTTTGTTATGTTAAACTGTTTATTTGGCATGCTTAAATTTTACCCAAGGGCTATCCATATTTACTTACTGAGTTTATCTCATAGTTTTCCTTGTCCACCATTTTAGGAAACGAAGTCAAGGACGGGGAAACCATGGGAAGTGACGAGTTAGAAGGCTAGCCATTTCGAGATTGATATAGATTTTAGAAATAAATCATGCTTTTGTAAGATAGATTTTACCTTGAATTTATGAGATCAAAACAAATTTCGGTCATTAGACCAATTACTTGGATTTAAGTCATTTTGGATATAGAAATAAATTAAGATGTTTGATTTAAGTTATGGAGTGGTATCAGATTGTGATATGATTAAGTTCCGAGCCTTGTGCATTTGTGGGACCCATCTCACGAGTGCATGGCGTTTGTCGCACCTCAGATTTGGGTTCTAGGGCGTGACAAATTTAGTGGTATCAGAGCTTAAGTTAATTAAATACCTAGGTTTAATTGAATACCTAGGATTTGTTTAGAACTTGGCTGGCTAATGGATTTTAGAACCGTGGTGAGACGAGTGATGGGGTTATATAAAGGACGATTCTGATTCCCGTTGCCTGAATTTCCTAATCCATTTTGATGAGATGGTAATCTGATTGTCTTGTTTCCTACCTTCATACCTTGTGTATAGTCAAGAGATTAATCTTGTCCACCATGTTCTTAAGACCTTGTTTTGAAACTTGGCCATTTTCTGATAGTTTGCACTTGTTTAGACTTGTTACATGAATAGAATTTTTGTATGCTCTTTTGCCACAATTATAAAATCTAAGGAGTTGCAAAGATTTTTGTTATTAATCCTGTTGGTCTCTACAGCATAGCTGGTTGAGAATTTGTTCTGTTTGTCACATGACCAGTGGAAGATGGGCAACCCTCTACTTGTAAGAGATTCAAGGCTATTTTAACAAATGTTGTGTGTTTTCTAGATGCGTTTTAGGAGCTGGATAACTTGGTAATTTCGCTGCCCATTATCTTTCTAAAAATCTTATAGTGAAGTTTCACTTGGTAATTTAAGCATGTCAAATAAACAGTTTAACATAACAAAACGTTTAATGATAAACCATTTATGCAAAATCAAAATTCAGTTCAATAGCAAAGCGTTCAATGACAAACCGTTTATGCAGAAGAAAATTCAGTAGTAGTCTCATCTATAAGTCATGGCTAGTGTTTAACACCCACTGGCAGGCATTAGAAATTACCAATGTGTTCGCCCATTGGCAGGCGTCAGAAATTTACCAATGGATTCGCCCAGTGGCAGGCATCGAAAATTACCAATGTATTCGCCCAGTGGTAGGCGTCAGAAATTACCAATGTATTCCCATTGGCAGGATTACAGAATGAACCGATCATATCAGTAAACATGTTGACATGTGCTAGTGTTACTCCCACTAGCGAGGGTCAGAAATCATGACTATATCAGAGATAAAACCATGCAGGATCTACAGAAAATTCTGAAATTCACAATCAATCTCAAATTCCAAAAATAACCAAAAAATTTCCATGTGAGCATGGATTTAATAGAAAAACTTAGAATTTACAAAATTCTTAGTTCATCAAGGCAGTTCAGTCAATTCCAAATAGGCATGCTTTACTCAATGCAAATGAAAACAATTTCATTTCAAACCAATCATGCTCGGTGCAAATAAAATCAATTTAAACATTGCCACCATCTCAAAAACAATTTAAAATATGCCTTGAAATCAAAGAGCATTACCATAATTTACTTACCTCAAATCGCATTAAACCGAAGACTCAAGCCACATACTAAAGTGCCCCAAGGATCAAGAACCTAACCAAAATATTCCAAAATTAATATCGCACTACCACAAATTCAAACTGAAATCATCATTAGGACTACCCCTAATCACAATGTTATTTCTATCAGTCTCCACAAGACCGGACATCACCAAATTTGTTCTTATATTACAAAATAAACATTTAATCCCCGTTAATTGTTGGCCATTAGTGCATGAACAGTACCGTAAACAGTAACTGCAACTTCCAAAATTGGTAAAACAATAGCTAATCACGGGATTTTCTCTCCAAAAATCACAGCAGCCAACTTAAGCAATTTATACATGAATTAAGCTCAATTATGCTCTAATTACTACCGAAATTCATCCCCCTAATTCAACAAAATTCGGAAAACACATGGGGCAGTAATTAAATGGACAATTTCAGCAATTAATTGATGAAATTTCGAGCTTGGAGGGGCTGTCAACATACCAGAATTTCTAGCAAGCAAACCGAAGCTGCAAGCTAGGGGAAGCTGGCGAGAATTGGGGAGAAAAATCAAGAAATCTACTGGAAATTGTGAAACCAAGAGAAATTAAGGTAAACCCAAGCCAATTCAAAGAAGAACAGAGGGATTGGTGGCTGTTCCTTACCCAAAAATTAGAGAAATTCGCACCCACAATCAAGAGTAGCCGGCGTTGAAGACAGAGCAGAGCAAATCTGGAATTTCCTGCAGGGGGAGAAGGTTTCTAAGCTCCTAAATCTTGTTCTTGGACAAGAAAAGAAGGATAACATCAAGCCTCCTTACCGGTTTTCCAAGTGGGGTTGCTGTCGGGCTTAGGGGCCTTTGTTCGGCTGCTGGGAAGAAGAAGAAGAACAGAACACGCGGGCTAAAGAAGAAAGAAAGAAGGAAAAAATAGCTGATCCTTATCCACATTCTTTCCTCTTTTAAGTCCCTCAAGTTTGGATATTTTAGCTAATAAGCCCCAAAATAATATTTTCTCACACCAAGGTCCTCAACTTAAATGCTAGAATTTCAGAAAATATGGGATATTACATTTTGCTTGAATTTGTTAAGGATTCATATTCATGCATTGTTCCCTCTCAAATAAACTATAAAATGGCATATAATTTTTCATTGTTAGTATATTAATTTCACATAAATTAAGATGACAAACTAATATGAAAAATTAAAGAGAGTTACTCACTTGACCCATCCTCACAATTCCTCACAATTCATTAACACATAATATGAAGTAGCTTTGCACTCCTCTATCGTTAAGCAACGTCTTATAATCTTGGAACCAATAGGTTTCCTAACACATCTAAAGATGGACAATCCACAATTTGCATCAAATCCACCAACAATGTTCTTAGGGGGGTGGTCACTTCTACTGTCAATTTCTTCATCAAAGTTATGTGAGATAAAGTTTGTGATCTCAGACATTATGTAACTCTCACATATGGATGCTTCTGGGTGTGCTTTGTTTTTTATCGTTAGCTTAAGACAATGCGTTCGCCTGATTCAACAAGAATTACAATATAACTTCATTACAAATAAGATATGGAAGTATATTCATATGGACATTAATTATAAATTAGTTACCCCTCAAATGAATACATCCACCGGTATTGCACCGGCCCTCCTACATGTGCCTTGTATGCAAGGTGGATTGTAAGTGTTTCATAGAGTCAAAGAATGAAGGTGGAAAAATCCACTCTAGTTGGCAAATGATTTCTACTATTTTTTCTCGCCACATTGCATGTCATTGGCCTGAATCACAGGAGCACACAAGGCCCTAAAAACTCACTAATCTCAACAAGAGGCTCCCAAACTTGTTTCGGTAGTAAATCATGAAATGCAATTGGTTAGAGGCTCTGCATGAAAATGTGACAATCATGACTTTTCATATCAAACAATTGTGCCTTTTGCATAGTCACACACCGAGATATGTTGGATGTAAACGCATCAGGGAATCTAAGTTCTTTTAACCACTGGCATACTAACTTTCTTTGATCTCTACTTAGAACATAAGTGGCTTTAGGTTTTTTACCCGAATCTGATCTTATTTTGGGTATGTAGAGACTTTTCCTTTTACAATACAGTTCTAGATCAAGTCTTGCATTTATGTTGTCCTTTGTCATTGGATCATCCATTACTGTATGTAGGATATTATCAAAAAAGTTTTTCTCACAATGCATAACATCTAAATTGTGTCGAATTAAGTTTGTGTGCCAATATGGTAATTCCCAAAATATGCTTTTTTTAACCCAATTATGCATCTCACCAAATCCTTCAATTACTTGTTTTTGATGCTGCTTACCAAATAATATATTAGGTAGCCACTGGATGCAACTGCGCATCTCATCACCAAATAATCTCTTTGGCATGGTTGTATTCTCTACACACCCTTTTTGAAATCATTCTTATTTCTTCGAAATGGATGATCTTGTGGCAAAAATTGTCGATGACAATCAAAAAATGATGTGTTCCAACCATTTTCTAGCCAAAAGGCTTTTGAATTTTCCATGCAATATGGACAAGCTAATCTACCATGTGTGCTCCATCCAGACAACATTGCATACCCAAGAAAGTCACTAATGGTCTAGATAATTGCAACCTTCATTAGGAAGTATTGGTGTCTAAAGCGATCATAAGTTTGAACCCCAGAGTACCAAAGTTGTTTAAGATTATCAATTAGTGGCTGCAGCATTACATCAATGTTCTTTCCAAGACTTTGTGGACCTTGGATAATCAATGAAAGGAATACATACTCTTCCTTCATGCACATTGTTGGAGGCAAATTGTAAACTGACAAAAAGACTGGCCAACAAGAGTATGGAGATGCAGATTGTCCAAAAGGAGTGAACCCATTAGTGCATAAGCTTAGCATGACATTCCTTGGTTCATTAGTGAAGTCAAGATGGGTGCGATCAAAGTGCTTCCACGCATCTCCACATGTAAGATGAACAATTTTTTCATTTTCATTATAACAATTTAAATGTCAGATCATATGCTCGACAGTTTTCCTAGACATGTACAATCTCTGAAGTCTAGGAATAATCGAGAGATACCATAAGGACTTTCTTGCCATGGGCTTAGCAGAATGAACATCACTCTGCTTAAATCATGGCTCTACACGTACCGGACACTCTAAATAGCATTAGCTTTCAAATTCTCCATAATACAAAAAACAATCGTTCAGACAAATATCATACTTCTTATACCCGAGATTGAGGCGTCTCAACATCTTCTTGGCACTATTATAATCTTTTAGCAATTTCTCTCGATCAAAGAATTCTTTCACATTTCTTCTTGGCATTATTCATTATTAGAATAATTTTTATACAATTATAAGATAATTATATAATATTACTTTTCAATAAAATTCAAATATAAAATATTATAAAATTAGTTTATTATGTAAATTACTTACTAAAGAAATCAATAAATACAAGATAAATGTTTCAGTTTTTATTCTATAACCTAAAATTATACCCCATTTTAATACAATTATAAAAATATTTTAGAATATAATTTTTCAAAAAATTCTAATATAAAATACATTTTATAATATTAATTTATTATAATATGATTATATAAAATATAAATACAATTAATTCTCCTCTAAACTTTTTTACAACGTCAAAATTTACACCATTTTTTTTAATTTTAAAACTATAATACAATATTATACCCCATTTTAATACAATTATAAAAATATTTTAGAATATAATTTTTCAAAAAATTCTAATATAAAATACATTTTATAATATTAATTTATT